TCTTATATCTGACAAAAGTGTGACATTATTAGGGGTTGTCTTGGTCTTTACTAAACTATCAAAGTTAAAATAATTATTCTATGAGCGCATGTATCAAAGACAACTTATAATATTCCTCTTATCAACTTTATGATACCAGTGTCAGATTTTGATACCAACAAAAAGAAAACTTATCACATGGGAAATGAGATGCGTGTGCAAGGCTGCATATTAAACACCCCTCACAGAACGCGGGATGGCTAACTCGGTCAACAAATGCCAGCAGAAGTCGGATGTGTCGGCCGAAAGGCGCACAGATCGCAGCCATGCTGTAAACGGGGACAGCTCAATTACATCTTCGGATGAGGGCAGAAGGAGAAACCAAAAAATAATGATGATTACGAATACACATGAGAACACACATGATGTATCGAAAGAAACTATTCGCATTTCAGTTGGATTTATTCAGTTGTGTGCTTTATTTTATGTTGATGTAACTGTAGTAACGAGACACAGAAAAATGCCTGGCAATAAAGTGTACAACGTATTGTTTGTGTCCGCATTATTTACAGATAAATTACGATGGTGATAACTTATAATTGTGGTAACGGTGATAATTTGTTTCTGGTCCTCATTATGTTGTGTATGACGATGGTGGTGATGCTGCTCATGACCATCATCATCATCATCATCTTCATCACGACGAAGAGATTAGAAACATTATTCACCGCAAGCCAAGCACACGCTATCAACGGCAAACCTGTTACGCAGATGTTCGGACATCCGTCAATACCAAACCTCAATAAAGTTCCCAGTTTAGCACATGTGTGTTAAATCACAAACAACTTCGCTGTAAATATCACTTTTAGCAACAAAAACAGTTTCCCATTGACGTCCTCTGTAATTCCCCAGCACAGCTCCTTGGCGCAAAGCTGATATCTCGCAGGGCTGGAACTAGTTCGATTTCTACAATGCTTATGGCAACTAAGATGTCAATCTATAGACACCGATGTCAGTAGCCACTTATGTTCTTGACAGGCGGATGTTGAATGCCAATGCGGGTGACAAAACACGTTTACACAATAAGGGCAATTTAAGGACATTCTTCTTCTTCTGCCTTCTATTCCCCAGTGGTGCATAGGTCGTCAATTAACTAACGCCAAGTTGTTCTATCCTTCCCTATTGCATGCAGCTCATACCATGTCCTTCTCATCTGTTTAACTTCATTCCCCAGCTCCCTTCTTCTCGTTTTTTTGTGTGTCTTCATTTATTTATATACCCCAGTGGAGTTCAGTGCATAGACGTTCTAGTTATTTTGTTTGCAGGTTTTCTCAACGTCTGTCCGATCCAACACCAGCGTCTTCTCCTCACCTCTTGGTCTTGTGGAAATTGTTTAGCTCTTGCCCACAGCTCAACATTAGTGGTTCTATCATAACATTTAATTGCCTCTATTTGTGGACATCCAATGGTAAAAACGTTTGTGGAAACAAAGCTAAAAGAAAGGCAACGTGAGAAGATTCTTGACAGCCTTTTGTCACAGTACATGAACTGATACATACTGCTGGAGCTCGCAGGTGGTGGCGAGGCGTGATCGCCCATGCCTGTCGGCAAGGTACTTGATGATGAAGACGATGATGATGATGATATTTGTAACACATTACCTAAAAATTGCTTTATGGAACAAACTTCCTTAAACTCTGTCCACCCTATAAGGTAATAGCTGATGCCCAAATTCGTAAATAGTGAAATCAACAAACTAATGGGTATACGGCATCTGCAGGGTCCAAATGTACATCCCTTGTGTGAAAAAAACTGTGTTGCTCTGTGTTTTAGCATGCCCCGACTAAACAAAACAGGTGCAAGCACAAAAATATGTTAACTGTTGCATGTGAGTAAATACAGTCCCACGGGGTGCGTTGTTTGAGACCGAAAAGGTTGAGAATTCATGCCACACTTACGCTGGACATTATTTCGCTATACTTCGGCAGGTGCAATGCAGCAGATTTTACATCAAAGAACCAAGCAATAGTCTGCGGTTGCATTGCATATCTCACTTTGTTGTTAGCATCTTTCCATCTTCCCAGATTGGGTAATTCTGGTGTTTTATTTAAAAATTCATGGAAACCGGTTTACTCCGTGTTCATTAATACAAGGAACTTCTTTTCTGGTGACGCGTTTGATTTTGAAAAACGCCATTCTTTAGCCTGATCCAAAAGTGTCAAGACGTATATCCAATTTGATAGAATTTGGCGCATTCATAGTTCCAGTTCTAACTTGGAAGATTTCCTAAGCTTGGGATGAGACCTCTGTAGAGATCAGGCAGACGAATCACAGTCCAGCCAACAACCACCAACCCATACCATTCTATGCACCAAGCATAACCTAGAAGTCCTGCCCTCTTTGCCACTACCTCAACATGGCAAGAGTGTGTGTGAGCTCCAAGACGAGTGGACCTTTGCAGACATTTGTGTCCTCAACCTGGTGAACCAGTCTTCAAGAGCTTGGTTGAGCTCTGAGGCAGTTTGTACCCTGACTTGTGAACTTGACTTGGTGACTCCCTGTGCAGTTCTGGTGTCCTCGATGGGGAGGTAAACTGGTACCAGATCAACTAGAGACATAGAGACCTGAGTCAACCACAGTCGAATCATCATGGACTGAGGGGAGCATCGATCTACGAACTGGGTTAAGTAATCGATGAATTACCATTATACTCTTTTCCCACAGCTCCTCGCAGTTCCCGTGATGAAATCAGGTCCATCTCAAGGCAATCTGGCTGCTTCAATATCTGGGTCTAGTCATTGTTTTCTGGGATCCATCCACTAAGATCTTGTGTCCAATTCACTATTTTATGTATATATTGTACTGATTACATGCATTCATTTTCATGGCTGACTTGGGTGTCCCTATTTCACCATTTTGACTGTTTAGCTTTGATGTTTGTGTGAGTAATAAGTGTTATATGTGTTAACATAGTTATGATAGTAAACTATCATAACCTGGGGGCTATCTTTTTATAGTAGTGGGGGCGTCCAGCCAAGTGTGCCTAGGAATATTATATATATATATATATATATATATATATATATATATATATATATATATATATATATATATATATATATATATATATATATATATATATATATATATATATATATATATATATATATATATATATATAAATATATATATATTTATATATATATATATATATATATATATATATATATATATATAATATATATATATATATATATATATATATATATATTGTAGTGCCAAAACTTGAGTTGCCCTACTCCAGAAATAAGTTGAACGTATATTGGCCACGGGGCATCCCTTAGACCAATACGAGCCAACGACTCAATATAATTATTTCTGAGTGCTGTTGGTTCTTAAGGAGAAATCCTTAAATCAGGCACGTGACAATAGTGATATGTGACAGTTGCCATCACACATATGTGGCATTCCTGCTCTCTGTGACATAGAGCCCAGGCCGTGTTGTCATGTTGGCATTCATGCTCTCTGTGACATAGAGCCCGGGCGGTGTTGTACATGTTGGCATTCATGCTATCAATGGCATAAATCCCAGGCGGTATTGTACATGTTGGCATTCATGTGCTATCTATGGCATAAATCCCAGGCGGTATTGTACATGTTTGCATTCATGCTATCGATGGCATAAATCCCATGCGATGTTGTACATGTTGGCACTCACCCTCTTTCTGGCATAAATCCCAGGCGGTGTTGTACCTGTTGGCATTCACCCTCTCTCTGGCATAAATACCAGGCGGTGTTGTACATGTTGGCATTCACCCTCTTTCTGGCATAAATCCCAGGCGATTTTGTACATGTTGGCATTCACCCTCTCTCTGGCATAAATCCCATGCGATGTTGTACATGGTGGCATTCACCCTCTCTCTGGCATAAATCCCATGCGATGTTGTACATTTTGGCATTCACCCTCTCTCTGGCATGAATCCCATGCGATGTTGTACATGGTGGCATTCACCCTCTCTCTGGCATAAATCCCGGGCGATGTTGTACATGGTGGCATTCACCATCTCTCTGGCATAAATCCCGGGCGATGTTGTACATGGTGGCATTCACCCTCTCTCTGGCATAAATCCCGGGCGATGTTGTACATGGTGGCATTCACCCTCTCTTTGGCATAAATCCCGGGCGATGTTGTACATGGTGGCATTCACCCTCTCTCTGGCATAAATCCCGGGCGATGTTGTACATGTTGGCATTTACCCTCTCTCTGGCATGAATCCCATGCGATGTTGTACATGGTGGCATTCACCCTCTCTCTGGCATAAATCCCGGGCGATGTTGTACATGGTGGCATTCACCCTCTCTGTGGCATAAATCCCGGGCGATGTTGTACATGGTGGCATTCACCCTCTCTCTGGCATAAATCCCATGCGATGTTGTACATGGTGGCATTCACCCTCTCTCTGGCATAAATCCCGGGCGATGTTGTACATGTTGGCATTTACCCTCTCTCTGGAACACAAAGCATATGCGTGGTTTTACACGCCATGTGTTGTGCATTCAGCGCGATCTCCCCTCTTGGTGTACTTTTACTACATAGTAAAACGTGAAGGACCCATTTCTACACATTTAGGCTTGTTGGGCATATAGTGCTATATGTATATTTTATAGACCAGTCAGTTCTCGTTGGGTAATGTTGTCAACATCATGCCACCCGTCTTTACTTCCCATGACATTACTTCATACCCGTTTAATGCATGGTCGACCTGGTAGCTAAAGTCAATTTAAAAAAAAAATTTAAAGAAAAAGAAAGACAGAAAAAGAAAGTCCGACTCCGGATCCGAACCCCTTCCGATTGGCAGGCGAACGTCCAACAGCTACATCACTGCGACTTTCTAACTATGAAGTAATATGATGTAAATAAAGATGTTGTCGATGATGCGGATGACAAACACCTATGAATAAATGTTTCCTGCGAAACATCCACAAATACAACCACCCTACTTACCCAAAGGGATTCCAACCAGATTCTTCTCATCTGTCTTTGTTTGTTTCATAAAGAAATCTTTTTCTGCCGCGTAGGCAACAAGCAACAAGAGTGGGAAGAATAAAAACGTGAGTACAGCCTCCCAGATCTCAATCACGTTAGGCGAGGTACCCATCAACACGATGACCATCCAAACATAGGCGAACACGCAGGTGAAGGAGGTGACGCCAAACACCTGTAGGGTATATTATAATACAGCGATGAGGATCGGTCTGTTTAATTTCATCGTCATCATTTTATCATGACATAAATCCTCTGCGGCAGTGATTCCCAAACTGTGTGCCGCGGCGCCCCCTGAAGCCGCGACCTATTTACAGGGGCACCTTGAAATATTCTAAAGGCTTCATAATTAATTTAACCAATACAAAGACACGAATAGTCAAACTTTTACTTAGGTGAGGGCACCGTGGAAACATTTTTTTTTTTAATTGAAAAAAAGGCGCCGCGACCAAGAAAAGTTTGAAAAACACTGCTTTGCGGTACAAAACGTCGATCACAACACAGACAGCGGTAATAAAACTCGGTCTCTCGCCAGATATTCCACGCTTTTCTACCCAATGTGTCTTTTATATCATGTGCCCATCTTCGTGTTCGTCGGCCTCAGTCTCTCATTGATGGTACCATGTCCTATGCTACGATTCTGTCCAATCCACCCTGGCACTTTATATGGCCACAAATATTTCAGTTTTTGAGACCAGATGCTGTTCACTAGCCAATCTTCCATGATGGAAGATCTTTTAGGATGCCAATATTTCTTTACTTCTTTGACCGTGGTAGACTTATCAGGTAAATGATGCTAGACATATATTTTACATACCGATCGGCATTTGATGGGTGAGAGATCCAAAACTTCACGCCGGCAGGGGAGTTTTTCGCCACCATGTTACCTTAGCTTCCACATCCTTCAGAACATATCTCATAATGATGAGCACATCCTCATTATGGCACAAGGACCATGAGTGAGAAATATTGTTCTTCTTCTTCTGCTGCTGCTTCTTTTTCAACTTCTTCTCCTCCTCCTCCTTCAGCTTTTTCGTCTTAGTGTTAACCAGTCGCAACCTCTTTCAGAAAGTTGTGACTCCATCCATATCCGGACTTTGATCCTGTTCCAGAACTTAATTTGTGTGTGCGCACCGGTTTTACAAATCTGGCTTATTTATAGGCAGATTTCTGGTGTCACCGATTCCTAAGCAGGTGTACTTCGAATCTGAAAGGAACAAGCCTAATTAGTCACCTTTTACGACATGCTTGGTAAAGGGGTAGTTGGTCTATTCTTTTATCTCCAAAATGAGGCTTCGGAACCAACTCGGGGATGAGAAGTTATTAAATGTAAACAAGTTAGAAAACGATAAGCAGGGATAACTACCAAGCCCACACGATGTGGGTAATAAGACCAAGAAAACTTATATAAGATATACTTCACGTGTTGACTGGGAAAACTACCTTAGTGGTCTATTCTATTGTGCAAACAGGGAGACTTATAATCTTCTTCTTCTTCTTCTTAAAGTCCATGCCGTGTGGCGCTGGTAGTCATGTCTATCCACAACCTTTTGTCTTGTGTACTTTCCATCCACTCTGATACAGATGATCTTCTATGCCCTGATCTCAAACTTCTTCTTCGCGTTCACCGACTGTAACTCCGGCGGAAAGTTTTGGTGGTTCGTATACTGCTGGACTCTAGGCCTATTCCAGAAACTGAGTGTTGCATGCACATCCGTTTCACATGTCTAATTTATTTGCATGCAGACTTTTGGTTCCCTGCCTCTCAGGCAGATGTACTCATACTTCGAAGGACGCTCCCAGTTAGTCAACTCTTACGACATGCTTTTGGGCAGGCAGTGGGTCTATTCTTGTTTTCCCCACTATGGTCTCGGAACCAACACGGGAATATTAATATCAAACAGTCCAGTATCTGTTCTCTCGGTCTCCCTCTGCCTCTCCTCTCCTCCAACTTCCCTACTCTCACGACGTACTCCAGGTTTTTTCCTTCTCGTCACATGACCAAATAATGTAGTCTGTCTCTTTTTGATATAGGCAATCCGTTCTCTTTGTGAGTCAGTTTCTTTTAAGACATCCTCATTACCCTTTATATCTGTCCAGGGTATTCTCACCATTCGTCTAATAAAAACCAGATCTCCATAGCTCACAAATAAGTTCTCACTTGTTTACAAACTGTCCATGACTGACTAATAATCTGCTAGAGCCAAAATTGTGTTTATATTAAACGGGTGTTCTTTTTAAGCGAGTTCGTGTTAACAAGGTTTTACTGGATTAGAAAAGGCCCATACACGATCTGCTCACATTCCACTTTCGAGCGTCATTTAATCCTTATATTAATCCACTCTATACCAACGTTACTTGAAATCTTTCTAGTCTAAGCGACTATTTACAACTCCTTCAGACCAATATGTATCATTAATTAGGATTATCGTCACAGTACGGCGGACAGATACACCGGTCCTCTGATTTCTTCCCCAGAAGCCGAAACCAACCGATGAAGCCTGTTCTGTATTGAATAATCTAACTTCTTGTCCCATTTGTCAAATGTTTATTTCTGGCAGCTTCAGTCTGCATTTCTGTTTCTGTCAGCCTAGACTGGGTTAAGGAGTCATGCTCTTTGCAGTATTCGTCTTCCCAGTAAGTGATGTGCATGGCGTTAATAACATCGCTGCTGTCCAGTAGCAGACCAACTATAGCAATCGCAGTGTCGGTAGGATCATCTGCGCGCTTGTTCCCTTGAACACCCGCATCATCATCATCATCATAACCCACTTCTGCCGTTAAGCGTCGTGGGGAGGAATAATTATATTTGCCTGATAGTTTCAGTATTTACTCGATCTCGTATGGTTAGGTTGCCTGCTTTTCTCAGGCACCTCATCTCGCAGGTGGTGATTTTGCGTATATGGGCTTTAGATAGTGTCCATGTTTGGCACTGGTAGCTTAATGTTGGAATGAATATGCTATTAATAATCTGTTTCTTTGCACTCATAGTTATGCTTGGATATCCTAGTATCATTCAGCAACAACAACAACACAAAAAAAAAAAAGAGGATCAGCCACACGCCAAGTGTCACAATCCATTCTTGCCTGATGAATCCAGCCCGCAACAACATTTTTTTAGTGTCAGATAATAACAAGAAAAATAACAATTCAACACAACACGTCAAAATAACGACTGATTGGGACATTTGTTTTGATAATGTCGTTTTTCTTATGCATTAAAACTTAACAAAAATTCTCACCTTGAAACTTTGGATCCTTCGAATCTCCCCATCAGGGACACAAGAAATACAGATGGCCGATATAAACAGAAGGTTAAAGGCAGCAGATCCAACAATGGTGCCTGGACCCAGCTCTCCAGATTCGAAATTGTTGCCAGTTATTTCAATAACCGAGAGCAGGATCTCCGGGGCGCTGGTTCCCAGAGCTAGGAGACTCAGGTTGGCCACAGTATCATTCCACACCTAGGTAAAGACCAGTGTTTGGCTTGTAAATACAGAGCCTTAATAAAGGTATACATAATGTATCACAACGCTATGACCAAAATGACCTTGACACCCAGGTCGACCCAGCCTTAAGTGAGCACCAGGCGCAGTCCTAGGATATAAAGGCGGCCAGTGTGATGTTGACTATATCACCCACCAAATGCCGATTGGTTTTTAGAAATATAGGTCTAGCCCTATATTCCCAGTGCTCATAAAGGCGTAGAAAAGGCATCTTTTCTTACTTTACTATGATAGTTTTTCCTCTTGATCCCAGCGCGGTGCATAGGGCAGAACACATAGCTTTATATATCTGGTGGCTAGTTGCGACCTGTCTTAGATCCTGGATGTTAATTAGGCCCATGGTTGAGCCTTCCCTTGACGATAGTTCTGCGCATGGTCTCTCTTGGTCTTCCCTATTTTTCTTTTGCTTTCCAGACGCCATGCGCAATAATTTTTTTTTTTGGGGGGGGGGGGGTTGGGGGTTGGGGGAGGGGGGGGGGTCTCCAAGTCAGATAAAACTGAGGTAGCAGTGTTCACTGTGATTTTTCCTGAAGATAGAGCGATTACTGAAATGACTCAAATGATTAAAAAGCTTGTAGAGTCAACAGACCCTTCGCCCAACTATTATCTAGGCAGAAGAGTCCTATTGCTTCCCACCATGTTCTGCCAACCGAACCTCTTCTTCTTCTTCTTCTTCTTCTTCTTCTTCTTCTTCTTCTTCTTCTTCTTCTTCTTCTTCTTCTTCTTCTTCTTCTTCTTCTTCTTCTTCTTCTTTTTAACGTTCACCGGCTGTAAACTAAGGATAGAGGCTCTCGTTGTTTCTCCACTTCTGGACGTCGCTTTGGTTACAGAACTTGATTTCTGCGTGGATTTCCCTTAAAAATATATGGCTGTTGATTCCTCACCTCTCGTGCAGATACACTCCTACGCACAACGGAAACAACCCTGATTAGTCGACTTTTACGACATGCTTGTTAGAGTGACGGTACGTCCATCACCCTCCCCCCCCCCTTCTAAATGGGGTCCTGGAAGCCACACGGTAAACAAAGAGAGCAGATGTACAGCTAAGCATTGTACAGCATGGAAAAACAGTACACCAACACTGACAGTAGATATGACAGGCCAGAGTCATCAATGTAGCTTCATAATTCTAACTGACTGGTTTCATCTCAGCTGCAGAAAATTTGGTAGCAGACCACTTTTCTGCTATTTCGATAACTGTATAATCGCTGAATGTTCAGAAACAGCTGAACGTTAACTTGCCAAGGACACCGCAAATACTGATGCTGGTTTGCGATGTCAAATAAAAGGTATGATCATCATCTTGCTGTGCCAACAATTTTGGCGTTGAAGTTTTCTCTCGGTCTTTCCCCCCCCCCCCCCCCCCCCCCCCCCCCCCCCCGCATTTAAGTGCCGATTTGGCGATTCTCCAGGGTGTGCCCAACATACTGACATCATCTTTATCTTACAACCGTTCATACCAATAGCGACCTGTGACAGACGTCCGCAGGCAGGCTGGGTTGTGACAATATAAACGTTTTACTTAGCCATGTGTGTGTTCCAGTCAGTATATCGTAGAGTCCCGTGTATCATTTGTCACTGTTGCTATGTCTACTGGGCCATATGTAGTCCCATCCCTCTCCGTGTATCATTTGTCACTGTTGTTGTGTCTACTGAGCCATATGTAGTCCCATCCCTCTCTGTGTATCGTTTGTCACTGTTGCTCTCTCTACCGGGCCATATGTAGTCCAATCCCTCTCTGTGTGTCGTTTGTCACTGCTGCTGTCTCTACTGGGCCATATGTAGTCACGTCCCTCTCTGTGTATCGTTTATCTCTGTTGCTGTGTCTACTGGGCCATATGTAGTCCCCCCCCCCTCTCTGTGTATCGTTTGTCCCTGTTGCTATGTCTACTGGGCCATATGTAGTCCTGTCTCTCTCTCTGTATCGTTTGTCCCTGTTGCTATGTCTACTGGGCCATATGTAGTCCCGTCTCTCTCTGTGTATCGTTTGTCCCTGTTGCTGTGTCTACTGGGCCATATGTAGTTCTATCCCTCTCTGTGTATTGTTTGTCACTGTTGCTGTGTCTACTGGGCCATATGTAGTCCCGTCCCTCCGTAATGTTACTCAGCCAACTCTATGAAGTAAACTGCATAAAGATTGCTTAAGATACGACAGAAGATTGTGGACATTCACTATTACCATCGTCACACTGCATGGACAAATAGAAAAGGATTATATAACGCATTATCTATCTAATAAAACAAAGAAAGAAAAATAGGGGCTTCTGAGCCGAAATGCTGTAGAAAGGTTCTCAGAATACCATGGACAAAGAAGAACAAAAATACTGATATTTCAACATATCTGAAAATCAAGAAAGATTGGCTGATAAACAGCATCCTGACACGTAGGCTGAAATATTTTAGTCATATCAAGCGGGGATTGGAATAAATAACAGCAGAAGGCATGGTACTAGCAAGGAGCCGACCAACACGAAGATGGGCACAGGATATAAGTGACTCCTTGAGTATGAAAGTCCATGAGCAGGAGAGTTGGCGAAAGACCAAGTTTCTTTCAGGCAGACCGTGTTGATAGTGACGTTCTGCAAAAGACCTCTACGCGATGACTGATCTATCGAATGGGCTTCAGTTCGCTCAACGTCGAATATAGTTATTTATATTCAACATTTTATTAGTTACGGCCCTTCGCTAGTATTTATTTCTGGTGGTCCCCCGCGTGTAGATGAACTGAGACATGTGGATTTCTCTCAGAGATACTACAGTTAAATGATTCTGTGCATTCTTGTTCGTATTTGTAATGTTATATGTTCAAGGAATATGCTAATGGCAGCTCTCCGGCCCCACAGTTGACTTGACGTTTGAGTTTGTGATCATGTGAATCTGACTGGTTCTACTTTTCGTGTGGTGTGAAATAGTTTGCTGATAAATAGAAACAAACAAAAAAAAAAAGTTACCTTTAGCTCAACCTCTCTGATGCCGTCTGGAATCTCCGGATCTGCTATTCTCACAATCCTTGTCTGGCTAGTGATTCTTTCAATGGCCGCCATGAAGATGTCTGCTATGTAGGCCACGCCCAAGAAGGACCAAATGAGGCCTGCGAAGTACAGGCCCACACGGACGTGGGGATGCCATGTGTACTCATTGATAGCCGGCAGCAGCAGATAACCCTGGGAACATGTGTAGTTGTACACGTCGATATTTTCATGAATAGTGATAACTATTCTACTGGAATTCATCTTGGAAAGTGTTTATAGTTGTTTCAACAATAAGGTGCGTTGTCTTGTGTAAGAGTTACGGAGGAATATTAGTTGAATTTTTGAATGTATGAGAGCACTGGAGGCATTCATTATTGCATATCTGTAACTAGATACCCTTTGTTAGTATCTCACTCCCAACAGTTGCTTTGTTTGCTGAAGCAGGGTTGAATGCGAATATCGTTGAAATCTGACAAGTGTATCTGGAAGAAAAAGAGAATGGCATATAATAGTTCAGAGAATGTAGAACAATATTAGAGTAATTTATTCAATTGATGCAACAACAAAAGTTGTTGACTACAATGCACTTGGGAGCCTCCGTGGTGTAGCGGCTAGACGCTCGCCTGCGAATCGGAAGGTTGTGGATTCGGGTCCGAATTTAACAAAAAATTACCTTGCCCCCCCCCCCCCCCGCCCCCGGTCAGTCTTGCCTTGAGTGGGTGCCAGCACAATATTGGGAAGTAAAATCGGTCAGCCTGATCCTGACCACATCCCCCCACTCCAAAAGCCGATTGATCGATAAAATATAGGTCTTGCCCTATATGCCCAATACGCCTGTAGACGTGGAAAAGGTTCCTTTTACAGTGAACTTTTTGTTGTCTTTCGGGACATTAAGGGATTAGGTCACAGTCTCGTACTCCTGTACACAAACCATGAAACAGTTCAGGTTTGTCGTCTCCTTGACACCAGGTTGTAGCCCAGTGTCCTCGTTTTTCTGACAGGATGTGTTCATGAGCTTGGCACTGCAGCCAGCAGTTGTAAGTATGGCTAGCTTCTCTTCGGAGAGGTGAAAGGTGAAATTTAAGTAGCCTGCCAACGACCCGTAAAGCACCCAGGCCAGCCCCACCTCCTCGTGGGGCACGCCAGAAAAATGAAGCCGCGAGGTTTCAGGCTAACGAGGAGATGGCTCGCCTGGAAGGAGACTGGCACCAGTCAGGTCAGATTTGTTCCTGACTCGCCACGCGACTTGCCTAGCAAGCCGGCATAGGTTTAATTGACTGGCACTACACACAAAAATTAGACGTCGGCCGTGGAATTAGAACTCTAATTCCATTTCGAAAGTCGTGCCTAACTTTAAAAATCCTTGTAGGAAAACAACTATAATGCACACAAATATCTAGTTTTTTTTTTTTTTTTTCATTCGCGGAACATAAAAGAAAAAAAAAGTGACACCGATTCAGAACATACAGTTATCATGTTTACAGTTAACAGAGTGCGAGTTTTGCAAAGCATAAAACTGCAGATGCTGTAGAGGAAATCCATGCAAGGTGCACTTGTTTTGAATAGCGAACTGGGTACATAATATACTGTCATAATTGCATTTACATAACGGTAACTCAGTTCATAGGTTTTCACACTCAGATAGTCAGTGCAAATCTGGTCAGTGTAAATCTGGCTTACCTCCAAGCAGACTGTTGGTTCCTTACCGTTCAGATAGAAACGCTCCGACTTCAGATTAAAAATATCAAATTCGATATGCTTGTTATAGAGGGAGTGGGTCTATCTCCCCCCTCCCCCACTCCCCCTTCAACCCCCACCCTTTACCCCATTTTGCTCACTCCAGATGGGACCGCAGAACCCACACTGATAAGACTCTTGATATCGTAGAAGCTGTGAAACCTTCAAGCACCAGCCCGAAAAAGAAAAAAAACAGAGCGAGCCCAGCAATTCCATGTGTAAATACAGTCAATCTCTTGCCAGTCGCGTTTACTGCCCATGACATTTCCTGGTACCAGTTGTAGACTGGGTTGACATGAGCGCAGAGTTCAGCATGGAACAATCCGCTTCGTGACGAATTCGCAACCATAACCAGAGTGTGTGCAGACAAAAGTGATGGTTACTAAAAGGTCTTGGAATCCCAATCAAAATAGTGTTCACGCAGACAAGAATGCCATTTCGCTGGCATTCTTTCTCAGTGGACCCGTTTTATTTCACTTCTGTGGTTGAGTATTACCACTGCTTTGTGGGGGGGGGGGGGGGGGGGGGGTTCCAGATCAATTTTTGCTTTCTGGTTTATATTCCAGACCAATATTTGTTTGCTGGTATATATTCCAGACCACTATTTGTTTGCTGGTATATATTCCAGACCACTATTTGTTTGCTGGTATATATTCCAGACCACTATTTGTTTGCTGGTATATATTCCAGACCAATTTTTGCTCTCTGGTATATATTCCAGACCAGTATTTGTTTGCTGGTATATATTCCAGACCACTATTTGTTTGCTGGTATATATTCCAGACCACTATTTGTTTGCTGGTATATATTCCAGACCACTATTTGTTTGCTGGTATATATTCCAGACCAATTTTTGCTCTCTGGTATATATTCCAGACCAGTATTTGTTTGCTGGTATATATTCCAGACCACTATTTGTTTGCTGGTATATATTCCAGACCACTATTTGTTTGCTGGTATATATTCCAGACCACTATTTGTTTGCTGGTATATAATCCAGACCAATATTTGCTCTCTGGTATATATTCCAGACCAGTATGTGCTCTCTGGTATATATTCCAGACCAGTATGTGCTCTCTGGTATATATTCCAGACCAGTATTTGCTCTCTGGTATATATTCCAGACCAATATTTGCTCTCTGATATATATTCCAGACCAATATTTGCTCTCTGGTATATATTCCAGACCAATACTTGTTTGCTGGTATATATTCCAGACCAATATTTGCTCTCTGGTATATATTCCAGACCAATATCTGTTTGCTGGTATATATTCCAGATCAATATTTGCTCTCTGGTATATATTCCAGACAAATATTTGTTTGCTGGTATATATTCCAGACCAACATTTGTTTGCTGGTATATATTCCAGACCAACATTTGTTTGCTGGTATATATTCCGGACCAACAATTGTTTGCTGGTATTTATTCCAGACCAATATTTGTTTGCTGGTATATATTCCAGACCAACATTTGTTTGCTGGTATATATTCCAGACCAATATATGTTTGCTGGAAATATTCCATACCACTATTTGTGTGCTGGTATATTTTCCAGACAAATATTTGTTCTCTGGTATAAATTCCAGACAAATATTTGTTTTCTGGTATATATTCCAGACCAATATTTGCTCTCTGGCATATATTCCAGACCAATAGTTGTTTGCTGGTATATATTCCAGACCAATATTTGCTCTCTGGCATATATTCCAGACCACTATTTGTTTGCTGGTATGTATTCCAGACCACTATTTGTTTGCTGGTCTATATTCCAGACCAATGTATGTTTGCTGGTATATATTCCATACCACTATTTGTTCTCTGGTATATATTCCAGACAAATATTTGTTCTCTGGTATATAGTCCAGACCTATTTGCTCTCTGGCATATATTCCAGACGAATTTTTGTTTGCTGGTATATATTCCAGACCAATATTTGTTTGCTGGTATATATTCCAGACCAGTATTTGTTTGCTGGTATATATTCCAGACCACTTTTTGTTTGCTGGTATATATTCCAGACCAATATTTGTTTGCTGGTATATATTCCAGACCACTATTTGTTTGCTGGTATATATTCCAGACCACTATTTGTTTGCTGGTATATATTCCAGACCACTATTTGTTTGCTGGTATATATTCCAGACCAATTTTTTGCTCTCTGGTATATATTCCAGACCAGTATTTGTTTGCTGGTATATATTCCAGACCACTATTTGTTTGCTGGTATATATTCCAGACCACTATTTGTTTGCTGGTATATATTCCAGACCACTATTTGTTTGCTGGTATATATTCCAGACCAATTTTTGCTCTCTGGTATATATTCCAGACCAGTATTTGTTTGCTGGTATATATTCCAGACCACTATTTGTTTGCTGGTATATATTCCAGACCACTATTTGTTTGCTGGTATATATTCCAGACCACTATTTGTTTGCTGGTATATAATCCAGACCAATATTTGCTCTCTGGTATATATTCCAGACCAGTATGTGCTCTCTGGTATATATTCCAGACCAGTATGTGCTCTCTGGTATATATTCCAGACCAGTATTTGCTCTCTGGTATATATTCCAGACCAATATTTGCTCTCTGATATATATTCCAGACCAATATTTGCTCTCTGGTATATATTCCAGACCAATATTTGTTTGCTGGTATATATTCCAGATCAATATTTGCTCTCTGGTATATATTCCAGACAAATATTTGTTTGCTGGTATATATTCCAGACCAACATTTGTTTGCTGGTATATATTCCAGACCAACATTTGTTTGCTGGTATATATTCCGGACCAACAATTGTTTGCTGGTATTCATTCCAGACCAATATTTGTTTGCTGGTATATATTCCAGACCAACATTTGTTTGCTGGTATTTATTCCAGACCAATATATGTTTGCTGGAAATATTCCATACCACTATTTGTGTGCTGGTATATTTTCCAGACAAATATTTGTTCTCTGGTATAAATTCCAGACAAATATTTGTTCTCTGGTATATATTCCAGACCAATATTTGCTCTCTGGCTGGTATATATTCCAGACCAATATATATTCCAGTTTGGTTCTGGTATATATTCCAGACCAATATTTGCTCTCTGGCATATATTCCAGACCACTATTTGTTTGCTGGTATATATTCCAGACCACTATTTGTTTGCTGGTCTATATTCCAGACCAATGTATGTTTGCTGGTATATATTCCATACCACTATTTGTTCTCTGGTATATATTCCAGACAAATATTTGTTCTCTGGTATATATTCCAGACCAATATTTGTTTCTCTCTGGTATATATTCCAGACCAATATTTTTTGCTCTCTGGTATATATTCCAGACCAAATATTTGTTCTCTGGTATATATTCCAGACCTATTTGCTCTCTGGCATATATTCCAGACGAATTTTTGTTTGCTGGTATATATTCCAGACCAATATTTGTTTGCTGGTATATATTCCAGACCAATATATGTTTGCTGGTATGTATTCCAGACCAATATATGTTTGCTGGTATATATTCC